CACAAGTCATCAAAGGGCCAAGTTTGAAGACCCCTGTCTTAAATCTAACAAACAAAATGGAGGCTGGCTGAGGAATTCTGGGAGTTGAAGTCCACAAGTCATCAAAGGGCCAAGTTTGAAGACCCCTGATCTTAGCATACGACGGATAATTCCTGAACATTATTCCTTCTTCGGTGTCCCTGTGATCCTGACAATATATTGAACTTGAGTGTGTAAAACAATAACATTGGCAAATCGCTGGAAGCAGCTGCTACGGTTGCAGTAGCTCGACAAGTCATTGTGGTGTCAGAAATTGTTGCCGTCAGGCAGCGGCTTGAACTGATCTACACATTGCACAATTATTTGTTAGCCGTGCAGCCGTGTTCGTCTTCTCCTGCGCGCTTTGGATAAAGAAGTGTTGCATTTTGTGAAGCCGGCTTTGGTTTAGTGAAATGGTCCCGTTTTGTGTCACCGGGACGTGACAGGTGTTCTGCAGCTGGAAATCTTTTTGTGAACAAGCATGCCCTCGGGTGGGGATCAAACTGGCTCTCAGTGCAGGGATGTTCTGCTCTGTGGCTTGCTGGGGATATGGATCGTAGGGGACCACTCGGGTCTAGACCACCGATCAGAATTTGATCCGTTGCAGCATCTTGTCACAATTCAGTCACCAACAAAAGTTTACATCTTAGGAGATCTCTGTCTATTCCCTTTCACTTCCGCATTGTGTTATCTTTCTTCGTAAGTTGAGTCCAGCCCTGATTTTTCTTTTTAAGTAGCGGAAAGAACCCCGGGAAACAACATTTGGTTGAAATTGGTATAAAGATGCATTATGGTGAAAAAAGTAAGGTTCTACATTTAGGCAAGAAAAGCCAACTGTACAGGTATAGTATAGGGGGGGTACCTTGCTCAATAGTAGTAACTGTGAGAGGGATCTTGGAGTCCCAGTGGACAATCCCTTAACCGTGAGCCAGCCGTGTGCTGCAGCTGCCAAAAAAGCCAACACAGTGCTGGGCTGCATTAACAGAGGGATAGAATCAAGATCTCGTGAAGTGTTAATACCACTTTACAAGGCCACACTTGGAATACAGCATCCAGTTTTGGTCACCGCGATGTAAAAAAGATGCTGAGAATCTAGAAAGAGTGCAGAGAAGAGCAACAAAGATGATCAGGGGACTGGAGGCTAAAATGGTTGCTGGAATTGGGTATGTCTAGTTTAACGAAGAGAAGGACGAGGGGGGACAGGATAGCAGTGTTCCAATATCTCAGGGGCTGCCCCAAAGAAGAGGGAGTCAAGCTGTTCTCCAAAGCCCCTGAAGGCAGGACGAGAAGCAACGGATGGAAACTAATCAAGGAGAGAAGCAACCTGGAACTAAGGAGAAACTTCCTGACAGTTAGAACAATTAGCCAGTGGAACAACCTGCCTCCAGAAGCGGTGAATGCTCCGACACTGGAATTTTTAAAGAAGAGACTGGACAGCCATTTGTCTGAAATGGTATAGGGTTTCTGCCTGAGCGGGGGGTTGGACTAGATGACCTCCAAGGTCCCTTCCAACTTTATTATTATTATGGATCATCGCAGTCAGCCAGATGTTCAGACTGGATTTGGCATTTTTTATTATTATTATTATTATTATTATTATTATTATTAATCTAAGAATAGTTTTGTTAGCTACCGTTGAGTCAGGTTTGATTCTTTGTGTGTGCTCTCATCTATAAAGTAATTACAATGTAATTACAGCTTAGTGTTATAATATCTTGGCTCATTAGAAATATACAAATAGTTGCAAATTGCCTAGAAAATCGTCAATGTAGTGAAATGTTCCAGAATTGTAAACGTTTTCAGGGATTAAAAAAAAAGTTGACTGTACTTACGTACTGGAATTGCGATTAATTTTTCTGGTGTTTTTTTCCCCCAACGAAAATCGACGCACAACTGTTTACCACCCCATTGTCTTTTCTCGACCGTTGGCAAGCGTGCTAAACGTCGGTACACGTTTTGTACTAGTTCCCCCAGTGTAACCATTCAAGGAATTTTGAACTCGAATTTTGCGTTTTATGCTGGCACGTCGATTCAAGTCGACCCCTCGACGAGTAAAACCCTGCTCGACCCCATTTACTTCCGGATCCTAAATTGTAGGACATTTGGTTTCTTCGGTGTGTAACCCGTGTGTTATCATTTCAGGGCTTTCGTTACAAGATGAGGTCTGTGTACGCCCACTTCCCCATCAACGTAGTTATTCAAGAAACTGGATCCCTGGTCGAGATCCGTAACTTCCTTGGGGAGAAATATATCCGACGGGTACGCATGAGGGCAGGTAAGGAGCTTGTTCACCTCGACGTGAGTTAAAATGGGAGATGTGAATTCTAGTATAGTTGCAGGAACTGGGCATGGCTAGTCTAGTGAAGAGAAGGACCAGGGGAGACAGGATAGCGGTCTTCCAATATTTGAGGAGTTGTCACAGAGAAGAAGGGGGTCAACTTATTTTCCGCAGCACCTGAAGGCCGGACAAGGAATAAGGGATGGAAGCTGATCAAGGAGAGATTCAACCTAGAAATAAGGAGAAATTTTCTGACAGTGAGAACAATCCACCAGTGGAATAGATGTCGTGTGAGCTTCATCACTGGAGATGTTCAAGAAGAGGCTGGACTGGCGTCTGTCAGAAATGGTGTAGGGTCTCCTGCTTGGCCCGGCTGAGGAATTCTGGGAGTTGAAGTCCACAAGTCATAAAAGGGCCTCGTTTGAAGACCCCTGGTGTAAGGACTCCTGCTTGGGCAGGGGGTTGGACTAGATGATCTACAACAGTGGTTCTCAACCTGTGAGTCGGGACCCCATTTGGGGTCGATCGACCATTTCTTAGGGGTCACCAAGCAAGGCTGTCCGCCTTTTTTTTGTCCGCCATTTTTTTTCCCCTTTTCCGGCGGGTGCCTTACCTCCCTTGGGCTGGGCCAGCTGGTGGTCGGCCTGCTCCGTCTCTGCCGCTTGCCAGCTATGCCTCGGCCGGCGCAGGGGGCGGAACCACGCATGCGCGGTGCTCCCGGGCAGGGAAAGTCCTCGACTTATGACCGGTTGGGTAGTCCTTGACTTACGGCCGGTTTAGTCCTCGACGTACGACCGGTTTAGTCCTCGACTTACGACCGTTTGGGGTCACGGCATTAAAAAGGTTGAGAACCACTGGACTAGATGATCTACAAGGTCCCTTCCAACTCTGTTAGTCTATTCTATTACTCTATGCTCGAGATCTGTGTTTTTCGAACTGGGTGGCTAGGGCATTCTGGGAGTCGAAGTCCACCCATCTGAAGTGTTTGCCAAGTTTGAAAATGTCTGCTTTAGAGGAATCTTGGGATAGTCTGAAAAGCTGATAGATATACTGATTTCATTAGTTTTACAAACAGGTTTTACGCTACGTCAACCACAGATTTTTTTTTTTTTTATTTTGATACAACTATGGAATTGTCAAGGCGGTACTCATGGCCTTGTGTGTTTTATAGCTAAACGTAGAAAACTCGGAGCATTTTGAATTTGAATACTGCACAAGTGTGTCCTTTGTTGTGATGCATACTCGTTGTGGACCGATACTTTTGTAATGCTTATTCTGGCTTTGCTAGGAAGTTTCCTTTGAAGGGAAACAAATTCTTGCTTTTGAAAGGCAAAATACAGTGAGCGCACTAATAATGTATTTTTTTTAAGTTGGACATCAGCTTCTTTGAATACGTTTTCATTTCTTTTTTTTTAGTAATAATCTTTTCTAAAATATTCTTTTTTCCCCTACTTTTAGGTGTTAATTGTGCAGTGTCGCAAGCCCAGAAGGATGAACTGATCCTTGAAGGAAATGACATTGAATTGGTATCTAACTCTGGTGTGTCATTTGAGCTTTGTATTCCATTTTGTGCCATTGCTAAGTTTGTGTTACGTCATGCAAAGCATTTGGAAACTGTTTAAATAAATCTGAAGATCAGGGAAATTCTATTGTTATTCTTAACAGGGTGCTCTAATGTTTTGCTCTGTGCTTTTTTTTTTTTTACAGTTACCTGGCTACAAATGACTTCTTCATTTGGCTTTGCCATCTAATTTGATTTGATTGTAGCCCTAGCTTTTGTTAAATCAGTTGTTAAATCTGGAGGGGGTAACTATGTTGTCATTCCAAACTAAATAGGACTATCTTTGTTTGTTTTTTATAGCTGCCTTGATCCAGCAAGCCACAACTGTCAAGAATAAAGATATAAGAAAATTCTTAGATGGTATCTACGTCTCCGAGAAGGGAACAGTACAACAAGCCGATGAATAAAACAAGTTAGTGACATTCTTTTTTTTAAAAAAAAACATAATTCCATGTGCTCTACGTGAAATACAAATAAGCAAAATATCCTGGATTAAGTTTGGCTATTCAGAGCAGGGGCATTCATTGAATTTTTATTTCAACTCGTCTCAAGTCACGAGCCTCTGAGATGCTATATGTTACTGGACCATTTCTGAGGATATTGTTTAGCAACTAGACATAGCTGTTTACCAAGTTGTAGCTTCCATTATAGGGGATACATGCCGGATGACTGATTTAATAGTCTGGGATGTGGGGAAGTGATAAGATAGTTTTTCGGGTCTGGTGTACAGTAGATACCCTGCTCATCAAGTGATTTACGAGCGCCATTTGTGTAAGTTACCATTTGGGAAATAGATAGATAGATAGATTAGATAGATGATAGATAGATAGATAGATAGATAGATAGATAGATAGATAGATAGATAGATAGATAGATAGATAGATAGATAGATAGATAGATAGATAGATACTGTAGATATAGATATTCACACATATACATACACACACACACCATATGTTAGAACAATGAGGTGTTGCTCATAAAATCACAGGTACTTGGAAAGGCATCAACATTGTCTTCTTCATCTGAAAAGTGAATAATTGAGAAAGGTTATTTCTCATTTTAGCTTGTGTTTGATTGAAATAGACAATGAGGAAAGCATTAATTACGGCCATTTGAATTTGACTTGCTCGTTATTAGAGGAGGTATAGTCCCAATGTTAAGAATAGTCCACTGCCTGGAATATGGATAGGCTTTACATCCACTTTTATAGACAGATATAAGTGGGTCCAGAATAGTAGACTTGGAAGGGACCTTGAAGGTCTTCTAGTCCAGCCCCCTCAAGCAGGAGACCTTATGCCCTTTCAGACAAATGGCTGTCCAGTCTCTTCTTAAAAACTTCCACTGTTGGCGCATTCACCGCTTCTGGAGGCAGATTGTTCCACTGGTTAATTGTTCTCACTCTCAGGAAGTTTCTCCTTAGTTCTAGGTTGCTTCTCTCTTTGGTTAGTTTCCATTCGTTGCTTCTTGTCCTGCCTTCAGGCACCTTGGAGAATAGGTTGAACCCCTCTTCTCTGTGACAGCCCCTCAGATACTGAAATACTGTTATATCACACACACACACACACACACACACACATGGTCCTTCTTTTCACTAGACTAGCCATACCCAAATTCTTGCAACAGTTCTTCGTATCTAGGGTGAAGATGAACCTTTATTGAATTCAATTCAATTCATGAGCACCATAGAAACACACCTTAATAGTTTTCTTGACGATGGTTCTTTGTGATTGCCCTTCCAGGCTGTTTTTCACCTTTTCAGTCTTGCTTACAATTCCTTGATGACTTTTTCTATCCAACTGCTGACTATGTTTAGTTCTAATTAGCCTTTTGAGACTTGTCAAATTTGTAATGCCATTGATGTATATCATATGGTTTAAGACAGGGGTAGGCAACCTCGGCTCTTTTATGACTGGTGGACTTCAACTCCCAGAATTCCTGAGCCAGCCACGCTGAGGGGAAAGGGAGAGGTTTCCAATCTGAGCCATGCTGGCTCAGGAATTCTGGGAGTTGAAGTCCACGAGTCATGAAGGGGCCACGGTTGCCTACCCCTGACCTAGAGGAACATATGAAAGCATAATTAATGTTAATTAATGTAGACTTTTATTAGTTTAGAGCAGGGGTAGGCAACCTTGGCTCTTTTATGACTCGCAGACTTCAACTCCCAGAGTTCCTGAACCAGCATGGCTCAGCTTGGAAACCTCTCCCTTTCCCCTCAGCATGGCTGGCTCAGGAATTCTGGGAGTTGAAGTCCACGAGTCGTAAAAGAGCCAAGGTTGCCTACCCCTGGTTTAAGACGAAGTAAAAGAATATTGTCTCGCCTCCTGACCCAAAACAGTAAATTATGATTTACATCTGAGATGATTGTTCAGCATTTGTGGTGATGAAATGGATAAGTTCTCCCGCCCTTCCTTGCTTTAAAATATTTTCTAAAATCTTTGAAAAACACAAGTATTTTAGAAAAATCTGAAATATCCAATAATCCCGTCTGTTGATAGGGATATTTATCTGCTGATATATATATTCACTCCACAGACCGATACTATCAGTTGATTTTTTTTTTCATTGGTTTGCCTTTATTTAACAAAACAGACAATGAGGAAAAAGAGCAAAAATGCATCAGAACAACATAAACATATATGTAAGAGCTTCTCATACACGCAAAGACATCTATAAAATATCACACCACAGTACTCTTTATCGGCTTATCTTGAATATGTTTGTCAGAGAATGGAAATGAAGTTATTTTCTTGATATATTTTTTTCTGCTTCAACAATAAAACATTTTTATGGTTTTAGGTCCTGACATGGCAAACTGGGGACATGACACATCTTGCAATATGGTGTTTCCTATTTGAACTGAACAGTCTCAGATTGTTTTGAGAAAAATAAAAAAACCCTAATCTTTTAATATCCTGTATTTTGTGATTGAGCATGGGATAGCCTTTGAGTCGCTGTTAATTTTGAGAATGGACTGCTCAGTTGCCCATCACAACACAAACACGGTAAGATAAATTATCTTTAGGTTGCGCTGTGAATCTTTTCAGGTTTTTCATATACTTTAGGAGTTACATCTGAGAGTCTCACACGCTAAGACAGTGGAATAATATTATTTATCTTCAGTCCATTCGGAATCTGGAATCGGTTGGTTTAATTCAAATCGTGAGATATTTCAGGTCTTTTCCCAAAACTCCGCTTCTTTCTTATTTTGGAACTGAATTAAAAGCTACAATCTCACCATTAAACTCCGATTACCTAATTGAATTTTTTTTGGGGGGGTGGGAGAGACAAAAGGGGAGGCGAGCATTAGTGATAGATGTTAATACATGCTGGTATTGAACCAACTTGGATTGCAAAAAATGAAATAAAGGCTCTCGTAAGCGTTCCATCTATAAACCACAGCACATACACACACACCCAGGAGAATTATACCTGAGAAACGCGAAGACATTTCTTGAAAAAGTGCACGCTTCTAAAAAAAATCTTGTCATTTCAAACTGAACTACATAGTTTATCCCAATAGACCCAACAGAAACACTTTGGTTGAATTCTGATTAAAATAACGAACCAACATGCGTGCTTTTTTAATAGTTCACTCTCGCGTGGAGGTGTGCAAGACTTAACAGTAGGTGGAATAGCTTCCGTTGGACTGGATTGTATAATCTATATTAATCAAGAGGCTGAAGAAAAGGAATAAGGCTAGTTTGGACTGGACACCAGGTTCTCTGTAGTAAGCAGCCAGAAATCTCTTAAGGCAGAGAAGAAGAATGTAGAGTGAATCCTTGGTAAAAAAAAAAACCAAAGTGTGGTTCTGTGTCAGAATCCTGAATTGGGCATTCTGATTGTAAGTATCTTGCTGGACAAGAATAGGAGTGTTTCCGCTAATTTTTTCTGATCCTTGTTGGCAAATGGACAAAAGAAAACAGTTCTATATCTGGCTAGGGACTTTCTTAGCTTTCGTTTCAACAGAAAGACCAAAGTGCTGGAAGTATTTTGACCAGTGTTGTTTTCTTTTCTTTCGTTTATGAAAAGCAACGATACTTAGAAGCGTCACTAGTGTAGCCAGAAGGCAGCATCCGAGAAAGATTAGCGGCTTTTCCCGAACGAAAAGCAGGCAGAGGGTGCAGGGAGCCGTGTCCGTTGTTTGTTGGCCGCATTTATCTGTCGGCTCGGTGGGGAAGCCGTTGTTGCAGATCAGCTGATTGTAGAATTGGACGGAAGCCTTGGCCTGGAATTCGGCATTGAAGAATCCGATTTTGGGTTTGGCGACTTCGTCCGTGAGCTTAAATCCAAAGTAGCCTTTGAGGTTGACTTTGTCGACGCGGTAAGCTGAAAAGGACAACAAAACCTCACGTTAATGGCGTATTTCTGCGTGAACCGAAAAGCCGTCCCATAGTATTTGGAAAGGAAAAAATGGGTGTTAAACTCATTTAAACTCTATTTTTTTTTCTCTGAAGGGACAACCTTGCCTGGATTTCTGTAAGGTTTTTTTTAAAAAAGTATTTTGTTGGTGTTAATAATACAATTAACGTTTTTTCTAGCTTTCAAGAATTAAGAGAACATCTTCGTATTCATTATGATTTCTTGTCACGACGCATAGATTACTTTGAGGCAGGAGCATTGCTTTAAAAATAATTCTTACCGTCTCTCGCTTGTCATTTTTATCAGTTTCTTCCTCTCCTTAAATAATAGTTGTGTTACAGGTGGTCCTCGACTTAACAACAGTTCATTTAGTGACCGTTTGAAGTTAAGTGACTTTTGACCGCTGCAGCATCCTTATAACCGCTGCAGCATCCCCGTGGTCATATGGTCAAAATTCAAAGCCTTGGCAACTGACTAGTTCACGACAGTTGCACTGTCCTAGGTCATTTGGTTCCCTCTTTTGCAACCACCTGATAAGCAACGTCAATGGCGGAAGCCAGATTCGCTTAACAGTCGTTTTACTAACTTATCAGCTTCAGGATTCGCTGAATGGCGGTGACAAGAAAGGTCGTAAAATGGGGTAAAACTCACTTAACAAATGTCTGACTTAGCCACAGAAATTTTGGGCTCAATTGTGGTCGTAAGTCGAGCACTGCCTGTATACCCTATAACAGTGGTGGCGAACGAATGGCACGCGTGCCAGAGGCGGCACTCGGAGCCCTCTCTGTGGGCACACGCACCGTCGTCCCAGACCCGCCTCCCATGGCCCCCTCCTCACCAGCAGCCCCCCCAGAGAAGAGTTGCCCCCGGGCGCGGCCCATGCAAAGCAACGCAGCCAAGGACATGGTAGCCAGGCAGCGGGGACAAGACTCCGCCCTTGCACCTCATTGCACGCAGATGATGTTGCAGGGTGCGGGTGGAGGGCGTGGCCATCATGGCGCTGCTGGGCTGCCTGGGTGATCTGTGGAGGTGGTGGGTGGCGCAGCGGACGGGGTGGGGGGTGGTTTTGGGGCACTCAGTCTCTAAAAGGTTCGCCATCACTGCCCTATAATATTCTTGGCATTTGGTAGACTGTAATCCTCAGAAATGTAAAGGTTTGTTAAGCTTTGACCACACAAAGATTGTTGGTAATTTGCTTACGTGACACTTCTTAATCCTGCTCTCTCACTCTATTCTGCTACCTCTCGTCTTTTAATACCATTTGTTATCCCTCACAATTAAAATACAGAGCTTTTGCAGAATTTCACGTTCTTCTCTCCTAAATCAATCCTTCAAGTTGCTATGACTTTCGCAATAATCTTTGGCAACAAATTAAACTGGAAAGCCACTGGATTTATTCCACACTAGCTGTACCTGGCCACGCGTTGCTGTGGCTCAGTCCGGTTAAATGGAAAAGAAAGAATTGGAAATTTGGAAATCGTAAATGGATCGTAAATCGGAAACATTGAAATGGAATCGTAAAATCGTAGCGTGTGTTGCTTTTACGTCCAACAGATGGCGCTGTTTTTCAAAAACATGTTTTACCTGTCACAGGTGTGACATCTATATAATAGTAGGTATATAAAAACGCGCGTGTATTCGAATGCAACGTTGTGTCAAAATTTCAAAGCAATCAGTGAAGAACTTTCGTAGATTTAAGATTTTGAACAAATGAACATTTACATTTTTATTTATATATAAGATAAGATAGAGATAGAGATGGATTGAGCTGATTTAAGAGTACAAAGCTAAATTCCATTAAAGCTTCACAGCTTTATCTCGGGGCGTTCTCGTTCTGCTAAGTAGAACAAAGTGTGATAATCAGAAAACTATACCTTTATTCAACCACTTGTATCAGATTCTGACATTTGCATTTTGTTAAAAGCGAGGAGCAGTCAGCCTTATCGTCCTCTCATTTTTATTTTATCTATTTTTATCTCGTCTTTATTCAAGCATACCTATTATTTTTTTTCTTCCTCCTGCCGTCCTCACAATATCAACCCTTGTGAGCTGGTTTGGACTGAAATGTCTTTCATTATCAGTCTTGATTTCCGATCACATATTTCAAAAGTCCAAGTGATTAAAAAAAAAAGATACGATTGCTGAAAAGATATTAGTCAGTGTTGTATTTTATTGCTCCGGCTATTGTTTTGTAGATGTTGCTATATCAAACTAAATATATATTTTTGGATGGAGTAATCTGGTATTTTTTTTATTTATTTTTTTTAGAAAGTTATCAACTGTATGATGAAAAATAATTTGACAGTATCACTTGGAAAACATAGTTGCTGAAGTCAGCTTTAAAGCTGACCAAAAAAAAAAAATTACTTTGGGCAGGATTGTGTACAGTTCTACAGAAATGAATTACCTCTAGTAAAGGATGGTGTGTGTTTGTGTGTGCGTGAGACGTTTGGCCTGGATTTGCTGAATATAATGGGAACAACTCTTTTCAATTTACGGCTCACCAGAAATGCTAGACAGTAATCCAGCCAGCACAACACACGTCGTTTAACACATCTGAAGAGCAGTAGGGATGGGAAGCCTCGTTTAGGACCTGAAGTGTAAAGAACAAATCAAACACACCACCGTTGTGCCAAGCACAGCACAACATGTGTGAATGAATCCTTTGCTTCCATTTTAGACACTGTAGGAGGGAAGGCGTGTTAATCTAGCAGCCAAAAATCAGGAAGCTGAGGTTTTTACCCATTACAACTAAAATCATTAATTGACATGGTACCCTATCTTGTGTGTACTATCTTGTGTGTACCCATAATCTCCATAATCAAGATGTTTTCCTTACAAAAGGTTATGCCTTTTAATGAAAATGTGTTGGTCTGATTCACTGCTAGCAGACCTCTTCTGATTCCTGTCCCCAGTGTGATGTTTTGATGCTAAAAATGGCCATCCAGTAGACCAGGGGTCTTCAAACGTGGCAATTTTAAGACTTGTGAACTTCAACTCCCAGAATTTCTCAGCCAGCCGGGCAGTTGAAGTCCACAAGTCTTAAAAGTTGCCAAGTTTGAAGACCCCTGCAGTAGACTCGCACGCTACAGAAAACCTAACAATTATTCCAGTCTATAAAAATAGTGTGTCTTCCCTTGAAGCGGTTTCATCCCTTCTGCGCAAAGGAGATGCAGTCAAGCAGCCCTCTTTAAAGTTTGCTAAACCAATCACAGGACACTTCTGAATTAACGGGATGAGCATCAGTTCACCATCTCCTCACCTTTAAACGCTTCCTGCACGTACTTTCCGATGTAGTATTTTCGGAGCTCGTCGTTGTCGTTCGACAGGTCCTCGATCCCGCTAGCCGTGAGGTAAATGTCCGTATCGCCGTAACGCCGACGGATCCAGTTCAGGGCTTTGCGTAACCCCCAAGGCACCACGGCGGAGCGAAAGGGGGAACTGAGGTAGGTGAAATCTTGCACGAGTTGAATGTCCTGGTCGAATTCATACCGGCTCCCGTTCTTCGAATCGTGGGCCACGAATCTCGTGGTGAAGTGATTCACGGCGATAAAATCGGCAGCCCCCCGAACCAGCTGCTTCTCTCCCTTGGTGAAAAAGGGCAAAAAGGAACTGGAGAGGCCTTGGCCTTTTTTGTAACCGAGATATTTCCTCATGGCTGGGGGATAGTCCCCCGTCTTCAGCAGAGGGTCTAAAAACCAGGCCATCTCAAACTGGAGGAACCTCTCGGCCGCTTCCAAGTGGCTATCGAAATAAGGATTGGCAGGTTCCGCCCAATCGCAGTGCAGAGACAGAGACACCTGACCCCGCTGGGAAGACCGATACCGCTTATCGTAGACCTGCCAAGCCGTGGCGTGAGCCATCAGCAAGTTGTGAGCTGCCTGGTACGTGTCATTGCTGCTGCCGTTGTAAACGTCACTGAACCGATTTGGCTCGTTGACGGTGATCCAGAATTTAACCAAGTCTCCAAATTCCTGGAAGCACTTTTCGGCATAAGTTCTAAATGCCCGGACGGTGGATTGATTCAACCAACCGCCGTGTTGAAGTAAAGGACCCGGCAGGCTTAGTGACTGATAGGTCGGATAGTACAAGGTCACCACGGGCTTCACATTGAGCTTGAGCGTCTCGCTAATCAGACATCGGTAATACCGAAGGACTTGGCGGTTAAGGGACAGCAGATCGCCGCTGGGGAGGAGCAGCGACCAATTGAAGGCGAATCTGTAATGAGTGACCTTCATTCGTGACAGCAGTTGAAGATGTGTTTTAAGGCTGGTGAAGTCCGTGCACTGAACTGGCCGGGTTTTCAACTTCACTCCCTTCACCTGATAGAATTTTCCGTCGCCGGAGACGTTCCAGAGATACAGGTTAGGGTCACAGAACTGAGGAGAAGAAGCTAAGGATTCTGCCTGTAGACGAGAATTAAGATTAAGAAAGGAATGTTGATTTACATACGTGGCTTTCCTCCTTCCCAATACATCTAGGAGTCGTTATTTTAGATTTAGGACGTTGGCAAGAGCAGTTAAGAGCATGATCTGAAGAGCATCCCGGTCTGTTCCTCTAATACAGGGTGGCCTCTAAGACAGTGGTTCTCAACCTTTTTAATGCCGCGACCCCAACTGGTCGTAAGTCGAGGACTAAGCCAGTCGTAAGTCGAGGACTACCCAACCGGTCGTAAGTCGAGGACTTTCCCTGCCCGGGAGCGCTGCGCATGCGTGGTTCCGCCCCCTGCGCCGGCCGAGGCGTAGCTGGCAAGCGGCAGAGACGGAGCAGGCTGACCACCAGCTGGCCCAGCCCAAGGGAGGTAAGGCACCTGCCGGAAAAGGGGAAAAAATGGCGGACAAAAAAATGGCGGACAGCCTTGCTTGGCGACCCCCGTGAAATGGTCAATCGACCCCAAATGGGGTCCCGACCCACAGGTTGAGAACCACTGCTCTAAGAGGAGGATATCTCTAGCATGGACAAAGTGCAGCCCTTCTGAGGCAACGTCTGAAGCTATTGCTCCATCTGCTGATTCAACCATGGTGGGAAGTCATGGATGAACGTTAAGAGATCAATACATCTAGACAAGGCCATATAAAAAGATGAGCTGGGATGTTGGTCTGCAAAGAACATTCAGCTTTGCCTCCTCTCCCCATCCATCAGAGGCAGGGAGGGTCGTTCTGAATTAATGTCTGGACCCAACAACATACTGCATGAAGGACAAGAAATCCATATATCTAGGCAAGGTCAAGGTCTTTTTGGTCTTCACGTAGATGAAGGGTATTCAGCCTGTTCTGGAAAAGATTGCTTGGTCTTAAAAGAGAGATGGGAGACCACTGGTTACTCCACCAGAGTTATGTATTCTTATCTTGCTACGCCTGAGGTGGGTAATAGGTTTCTCAGTTGAAGCTTCTCCCATCTCTTGAACATATTTATGCCGTAAGAATAATCTATAAAGTAAGGATGTTTTCTCTAGTGGCGTTCCCGTATTTGGCGTTCTTTACAGCCCCAACTAATACTGGTTTTGTGCCTTGAGGGATGTGTGTTTCAAATTATAATCTTCTGATTTATACTCTACTCCTAATTGTATGTCTGGTTTTTTTTGAGCAAAGACCTTAAAAACCTATGGTTTGGGACATCATCAATAAACGATCTGGATTTTTAAAAAACAACCCTCAGATTTATAAAGGATAACTAACCATTGAGGGATAAGGAGGCATTCTGGTGTTTAATATTTGTAACATTTGGGGAAGACTCTAAATATACGTTTTTAATGAATTTTCTCCATCCCAAATAGTTGGAATCCTTGCTTTTAGGCTGCTTACCTTGATAACTGATTCGGTGATGCCCCAGAAAAAGTCCCGAGGAAATTGGCCTTGCAAAGTCCGGGTCGATTCTTCCGCAGGAAAGCCATTCTCCTGAATAATTTGCTTATAATAAAATGCAGATGACTTGGGGATCCGCTCCTTCGCTTTACTATTAAAGTCTACGTAAAACAATCCTCGCCGGGTGTTGAACATCTGTTGCCATTCAAATCCATCCAGGAGAGACCAAGACACGTAGCCAAACACCTCAATCTGATCGTATTTAATAGCTGCGCAAGGCAAATAAATAAAAAAATAATTGTCCAATTAACAAACTACGCCATGCACTCATCACAAAACTTTAAGCCAGCAAGGAAGGGTGGGAAAGGAATTCTCTTAGCAACTGCCTGGCTTGTTTGCCTATTTCCAATCTAAGGAATTATTTTTATTTTTGATGGGCAGCTATTTCTTCAAGACTAATTGGATGGGATCACATTAAGTCTGGTCCACCTCGTATCTTTTCACTTATTTCCCCCCCCCCTTTCTCCCCACTTCTGGAAAGCAATTTAAGGAAGGCATGGATTATTTTTATCACCAAAGATCTGGACCAGGGTTTTCTTCAGGTTTTTGCTATCAGGACTCTTTCCCACTTCTAAAAATTATTACAGAGGACCCCAAAACAGCTTTTGTTTACATAGGGTATGTTTATCAATGTTTAGCGCATTAAAAATCAAAACAGACACATTTGTAGAACATTTACTGAATCGGATAAAGATCCAAAACTATTAGATATTAACGTAGAAGTATTTTTCATTAAAAAAAACCCGTATACTGTATATTCTCTCAAATAATGAGAAGAGGGACATTGTTTTAAATTTTTGCAAATATCTTCAATGTCTGGCAAATAATAAATCTGCAGACATTTGAGATGGTCTTGGGGGACCCTGAGTAGTCCATGGACTGTACTTTAAGCGACGCTGATCTAGGCTAATTGCTTCCAAGAGCTTTTAATTTTGGTCAAAGGCCCATGGATGATCTCACCTAATATATATCATCAACCACTGGTCCCCAGATATTTCCTTCCAATGGACTGGAGGGATTGTCTTTAGGACTGCAGTGGGAGAGAAGAAAATTTGAAAGCTTCAGGTGATAATTTCACCTGCCGGCCTTTTAGCTGATGCTACCTGTAAATTACATTCTGCAAAGTTAGCTACCCGTCACGAATTTATCGCCCTATGTACAGGCAGTCCTCGACTTAACGGCCACAACTGAGCCCAAAATGTCTATGGCTAAATTTGTTAAGTGAGTTTTGCCCCATTTTACGACTTGTCTTGTCACAATTGCTAAGGGAGCCGCTGTAGTCGTTAAGCTAATAACACCGTTGTAAAGTGAATCCGGATCCTCCATTGACTTGGCTTGTCAGAAGGCTGTAAAACGTGATCGCGTCACTTGGGACGCTACCACCGTCGTAAATATGAGTCGCTCGCCAAGCGGCTGAATTTTTGATCACGTGACCGTGGGGATGCTGCAGTATTGTTAAGTGTGAAAAACGGACATCAGTCCCTTTTTTTCCCAGTGCCGTCGTAACTTGGAACGGTCACTAAATGAACTGTTGTAAAAGCCGAGGACTGCCTGTGGTTGACTCTTGTTAGATTTTCCGTGGTCTCATGTAAGTGGCCCTCGTTCAAATCCCCCCCCAATCGCCTTACACACCTTGCAAAACCTTATTAACAAAGTTCTTCATTAGGTAAATTGCCGTCGTGTCTTCTGTTGTCACATCCTTGTTGGTGAACCAGCCATTTTCCGCAATCAAGATCCTGGGAGGGTTGTATTCCGCTTTGATCCAGTTCAAAACTCCCCTCAAGTCGAGGGAGAAATTTTGGTCCATTTGGGGCACATTGCCCGGAGGTTTAAAGTTATTTGGCCCGAAGGAAAAGGCAAAGAAATCGGCGGTCCCTTTAAAATATTTCCTTTCGGTCGGCGTGACTTTTGGGAGCAGAAAGGGAAGTCCCATCTTCAGCTCTTCGGGGTAATCTCCATCTCCGTGTATCGGCTTCGCAAACCAGCCTAGGACATTTTGGATGGACAGCTGACACTTTTCAATATCGGATTCATTATTGATTTGACTCGGCTCAACCCAGTGAGATCCCAACGTGATCGATACAAAACCTCTCTGCTGGGGTCGAAAATGTCGGTCGTAATTATGCCAGACTTTTGCATGAGCCTAAGAGAGAGAAAAAATAAAATAACAGTCGGAGTTTAAATATATTACAGAGGTGAGCTGCAGTTTTTTGAAGAGCTGCAGATATATTTGTTTAGATGCGAACATTCAAATCCAGGTATTAATTATTGTTCATGATAACAGTGGAGCTAACAAAAAGACCAATAGGTTTATTATGGTATAGGATTTTATGAGCTAGCGTTTGGTTTATCACGTTAATTATCTGAAAAATTCAAGCATAATACATCTGTTAGCTCATTTGTGTAGAATTTATCGCTAGAGAAAGATTTTATTGATCAGCAATTTCCGTATGACAGGTGCATTTCTCCGTGAAATAACCCATATTCTTAGAAATGGAATCAGAAATGGGGAACAACTCTGGTGAATCAAGTATATATGGGTATTACAAGAATCTATTGATAGATCTCTGGAGGATTATGATAAAGACTTCTGATTTCTAAATGTAAAATAAAATCTTCAACTCAAGGTCGATCCTCAATGATTTCACGCATTCATCCGTGTTTGAGGGAGATACGCAGTTTAGAAATATGGAATATCAATAAATACTTTTCTTGGCAACAATACAGAATTTGTTGGCCACAATATTCTTTGGGGATGTTTATTCAGCTTCACAATTTAGCCTACAGCTTCAGTTCTCCTACCCCACTATTAATTCAGTCTGATCTTAACTTGTTGAGATCCATCAAACTGGCTATGTGCTACAACAAACTGGGTTATAAGACACTGTTAAGAGTATAAAGCAATTAACAATTTCAAAATTACTAACACCTCTGCATTCTAGTTAACCAGTAAGCTGCAGGCTACATTCTGCAGAAAAATAGCCTATAAACTCGTCAATGAGGACAGGCCTATGGAGATCACTGGCTTATAGTGAATATTGCAGGCCCCACCTTCATTCATTCATTCATCGCATTTATTTGCCACCCATCTTGTTTCACAATCGAAGGGCACTGGCGTCCTTCACAGAAAGACTTAAGAATGCTTCTGAACAATAAACTTACAATTACGTGTAACGTAATACGTAATACACATTTGCCGGCTTTGAAGACGGCAGCAAAATTTGGCAGATGAAGAGTTGCTGCACCTTCCCATCACCTAGCACAGGGGCCTTCAAACTTGGCCCTTTTGTGACTTGTGGACTTCAGCTCCCAGAATTCCCCAGTCGGCCATTTTGATGAAACTGCGGGCTTGGATCCAGACCAGGGGCCTTCAAACTTGGCCCTTTTGTGACTTGTGGACTTCAGCTCCCAGAATTCCTCAGTCGGCCATTTTGATGAAACTGTGGGCTTGGATCCAGACTAGGGGTCTTCAAACTTGGTCCTTTTGTGACTTGTGGACTTCAACTCCCAGAATTCCTCAGTCGGCCATTTTGATGAAACTGCGGGCTTGGATCCAGACCAGGGGTCTTCAAACGTGGCCCTTTTGTGACTTGTGGACTTCAGCTCCCAGAATTCCTCAGCCAGGCTGAGGAATTCTGGGAGTTGAAGTCCACAAGTCACAAAAGGGCCAAGTTTGAAGACCCCTGATCTAGTGCATAATATATGATTTAATCCTGAATCTGTCACAATTAAAACATCCACCCTTCCCTTTGGTATTGGGGTTCCCTGACCTCATGGGGCTATTGGATATATTTGACTTTTTAAGAACTTTTCTTCAGTATTCTCACAAAGTGGCATTTGGCACGCGTGGAGTACACGCGATCGGTGGTTTTTTTTTGAACTTGGCAACTTTAAGATATTGGACTTCCAACTGCCAGAATGGGTGCTGGCTGGGGAATTCTGGGAGTTGAAGTCCACACAAATTTGCCCAGTTTGAAAAAAAAACACTGCAAACTCGAGTAGAGGTTCCCCAACCTTTTGGGCACCAGGGACCGGTTCTGTGGAGAGAGGGTTTTGTGGTTTTGTGTGCTGCCTGCACCCCACAAATGGGGCTTTGCTTGTTTGTGCAGACTGGTTGCTGGCATGCCGCGGCCCGATACCGGTCAACGGACCGGAGGTTGGGGACCCCTGATCTAGAGGATGAATGCAGAATCCTCATAGTTATACTTCCCAGGACTCTTCCTTTCTCGTCAGCGTGTCTTTTTAAAGTAGAAATAAATATTTTTTTTTAAAAAGTCCAAGGTTGCGTATTTTTTTTTGTTCACTTGAAACCTGTTCTTGGTTTTGCAGCACGCCAGGTTTCCCACCTATTATTTTTTAATTACAAGGCAATTTAAAAAAAAATAAATGAAAAACCAAATGTGAACAAGGAACACGGCCGCTTCATTTTCAGCACCTCAGGAGCCCCTGATTATAAAAGTGAAGATTACTGGGGAATAGTGGCACATAAAATGGAGGGAAACTCACCAAGGAGAGAAGCAACCTAGAACTAAGGAGAAACTTCCTGACAGTCAGAACAATTAACCAGTGGAACAACCTGCCTCCAGAAGCGGTGAATGCTCCAACACTGGAAGTTTTTAAGAAGAGACTGGACAGCCATTTGTCTGAAATGGGATAGGGTTTCCTGCCTGAGCAGGTGGTTGGACTAGATGACCTCCAGGGTCCCTTCCAACTCTATTATTATTATTATTATTATTATTATTATTATTATTATTATTATTAATGACTTAATTAAGCTTTAACTATGTCCAACTAAAACACGACTTCGCAACTAACAACAACAGCTTAATGAAAAGAAGGACGAGGGGTGATATGATCACAGTCTTCCAATATTTGTGGGGCTACCCCAAAGAAGAGGGAGTCAAGCTATTCTCCAAGGTGCCTGAAGGCAGGACGAGAAGCAACGGATGGAAACTCACCAAGGAGAGAAGCAACCTAGAACTAAGGAGAAACTTCCTGACAGTGAGAACAATTAACCAGTGGAACAACCTGCCACCAGAAGCGGTGAATGCTCCAACACTGGAAGTTTTTAAGAAGAAACTGGACAGCCATTTGTCTGAAATGGTATAGGGTTTCCTGCCTGAACAGGGGGTTGGACTAGACCTCCAAGGTCCCTTTCAACTTTATTATTATTATTATTATTATTATTATTATTATTATTATTATTATTATTATTATTATACAAAAAAGTACTTAGGAACAGGCCGAAGGTCAGTTATAAAGTTTCTGGTAAATGTATTTGATTTATGGGACCCAATTTGGTGTCTTTTTCCGCCTTGGTCAGAGGTCGCCAAACCTGGCCACTTTTAAGACTTGTGGACTTCAACTCCCAGAATTCCTCAGCCAGCCATTAAAGTTGTCACATCTGGAGACCCCTGCCCTAGACAACGGCATCTTCTATGATGTGATTATTTGTGTTTGGGGCTTTTTTTTTTTGCTTTGGATAAAGAAGATCGCTCCCGACATAGAAAAGAAACACGGCAGGTGCCCCCATCTCCCACGTCCATGACTCAGCCAGGCAAGCCTGCGCAAACATTTATTTTGCAAGTTTTATCGGCGTAATATATATCTCCTTCCCCGAAGCAGGATGCAGCTCAAGAGTGGCAGAACAGGAACCAGAACTAGGACCAGCTGTCAGCCTTGAGAAAACATCTCAGGATGATAAATGTGGAAAATGTTAGTATCAGTTCTCGTAGTTCATCGTCTTTTTTCCAAGCATTAATCTAAGGTCTGGATGTCCACGTGAACCTCTGGGGTGGAGGATAATCCTGCTTCTATCACGGAGAGATGAATCACGCTGCTCATTAAATGCCGTAAGTAGTCCTGCATCCGTGCTTTCTGAAAATAGCACGCAATACATGGTGCTCCTCTGAATGCTTGAGGGGGGAAAAAGTGGCAAGAATAACAGTTGGAAGGGACCTTGGAGGTCTTCTAGTCCAACCCCCTGCTCAGGCAGGAAACCCTAGACCGTTTCAGACAAATGGCTGTCCAGTCTCTTCTTAAAAACTTCCAGTGTTGGAGCATTCACAACTTCTGGAGGCAGGTTGTTCCACTGGTTAATTGTTCTCACTGTCAGGAAGTTTCTCCTTAGTTCTAGGTTGCTTCTCTCCTTGATCAGTTTCCATCCGTTGTTTCTAGTCCTGCCTTCAAGTCCTTTGGAAAATAAGTTGACCCCATTCTTCTTTGGGGCAGCCCCTGAGATATTGGGGCACTGCTATCATGTCATCCTTCTCTTCATTAAACTAGACATCCCCAATTCCAGCAACCGTTCCTTATATCGAGCCTCCAGTCCCCTGATCATCTTTGTTGCTCTTCTCTGTACTCTTTCTAGAGTCTCAACATCATTTTTATATTGTGGTGACCCAAACTGGATGCAATATTCCAAGTGTGGCCTTTCCAGGGCACTCTCAAGTGGTACTAACCCAAAACCCACAACCACACCAAAAAGACACAAAAGGCTTGTCAGAAATCAACCGAGAGAAGGTGGCGGGTACTCTTAACAAACCTGGCCGCTTTTAAGAAGTTGGCCTTCAGCTCCCAGAATGCATCCTGGTTGGGGAATTCTGGGAATTGAAGTCCACCTAGTCTGGAGTTTGTACTTCCGTTCGGATTTTATAAGAGGCGCTCCGAAGCTGGGGCGTTTCAAATATATGGCTGCAATTCCCAATCTCGTGGGCAATGGGAAGAATTCTGGGAGATGCGATGCCAAAATGAATTCCTCCGACATCTGCAATTGCTTCTTAATCTGTCCTCAGTTTGACATCTTGAGAACAAGGGAGAATATTCAGTAGGCAATGGGAATATAATCAATCAATAGCAACGTAGCCTAATAATCGACTGCGTTAATTTTTGCATAATCTGTTAATGCTCAAGTTCTGCTTACTATTTTCTCAACAAACAAAAAAAAACACACGGTAGAATGGATGACAATATTTTCTCGCCAAGGAAGATTTGAGCCATGTGTATCTTTTTTATTCCCTGAATTTTGTGTATTTATACAGGAGTCCTACTCCTGCAGATACTAACACTTAATTCTGAGATAACGCAGGCATACAACTGTAGCCCTGAAACCCTTTTCAAGTACTGTGTGTGAGTGGAAGATGCCAGGTAACAGTTAATTGCTGTTGAGTGTTGATTAACAGCCCGAGGAAAGGCAAAAGTTTTATCTTGCACCGCCTTCCCTGTTGTGGAACAGGACCTGGGTTAGTTAGCCAAGTCCTGCATTTGAAACTAACTCAGCCCAGAATCTACTCGAGATAATACCTTACTCCAAGTAGAAACCGTGGAGCATGTGCAAACTCCAATGATTGTAAGATAACTTTTATCCGCACGACGTTGTAAGCAATTCACAACAAGCACTCTTCCCTGACAAAACGCATTTCCATGGAGGAAGAGAATAAGAGGTGGAAAGTAAAGACGGGATGGAGCATCATAAAAACGGCCAAGAAACATCCCAAAATAGGAACTTTTCGCACATTCCATTTGTCAGGACCGTTCAAAAGTCTTCAGAGCTCTACTCGGCATCCAGTTACTTCGTTCTGGGGTAATCTGAGCGCTTCCGGGGCGCCATAGCAGAAGAATAGATGGGGAACTCATCAAATTTGCAGACTACACCAAGCTGGCAGGAATAGCCAACACTCCAGAAGACAGGCTTAGGATACAGGAGGACCTGGACAGACTGGAACACTGGGCGCTCTCTAACAAAATGAAATTCAGTGGTGAAAAAAGTAAGGTTCTACATTTAGGCAAGAAAAACCAAATGCGCAGGTATAGTATAGGGGGTACCTTGCTCAATAGTAGGAACTGTGAGAGGGATCTCGGAGTCCTAGTGGACAATCCCTTAAATACGAGCCAGCCGTGTGCTGCAGCTGCCAAAAAAGCCAACACAATGCTAGGCTGCATTTACACAGGGATAGAATCAAGATCATGTGAAGTATTAATACCACTTTACAAGGCCTTGGTAAGGCCACACTTGGAACACGGCATCCAGTTTTGGTCACCACGATGTAAAAAAGATGCTGAGACTCTAGAAAGAGTACAGAGAAGAGCCACAAAGATGATCAGGGGACTGGAGGCTAAAGCATATAAGGAACGG